ACACACACACACACACACACACACACACACACACACACACACATATATATATATATATATGTATATCAGGAGTAGATAATAGGGAATTATCTAGGGAATAATAGGAAATTCCCTATTATCTACTTCTGATATATATATATATCAGAAGTATAGGTGCGCGGCTACAATCACTACAATGACAAATATAAAATAAACGCCCATTATGTTCTACGAAATGTCGCGTGTTTTGCATGCATAATATATTTTGGTTAACGACGAAATTACGTTGCCGACGTTTCTGGCACAGACTCATGCATATAATCTTATTCGGCATGCTTTTAGCTGTTTATTACTGTCGTAGAACGGATAGAAGGTATCGGAGCGTTGTCGCTTAGAGAGTCACTCACACGTATATGCACACTGTTAGCGCTTACCGCCACAGTGTGATTGGCAATATCCATAAGCGATAACCGTAGCTTTGAGACCCGCTAACAGCTCATACGTCAGATGTAACGCCGCGGCTCTACATAATAACGTTTTTAAGTATAGGCTGAATGTTTGCACGAGGAAAAGCGCTTACGTCCATCGATTGCATATAATTATCATTTATGGCGATTGATCTTCAAACATCCGCGTGCAATATACATGCGTACGGCATAATATATATATATATATATATATTTATAATAATATATTATATCTATATAATATACATAATATATCCGTGCGTACGGCGCGAGCAGAAGATTGTAGCACACGTTCCAGGTAATAGTTTGAAACAAACACAACTGCCAGCATGACTACATACGTCATTCAATTATGGGAATGAAGCACCTGCCGGGTTGCTGGAACAAGTCACGCACGAATTCGCACCTGTAGCGGGAAGGGTGGCGGGTAAATATTATGTTGAGCGAAAACACATATATGTCATTATAGCGGGTTGTGATGATGGACAGAGTCCGTAATTAATTGCGTACATCGCTGATGCGAATGTTCGAGCATAGCTCTGCATTTACGATGGCGAGAGGGAGTGTGGGAAAGAGCGAGTGTGGGAAAGAGGGAGTGTGGGACAAAGGGAGTGTGGGAAAGAGAGAGTGCGAAAAGAGGGAATACGTGATGGAGGGAATATGCGGTAAAGCGTGTGTGTGCGTGCGCGCGTGCGTGTGTGTGTGTGTGGGGGGGGGGAATTGTGCGTGAACTTCATGTATGAGCTAGATGTGCATAATAACCGAATGTCCGTACTAGGAGATTCCGCACGTGCAACGCAACGGTTATACACACACGCACATGCACACACACACACACACACACTCACACACACACACACATACCACACACACACACACACACACACACACACACACACACACACACACACACACACACACTCACACACACACACACACACACACACACACACACACCACACGCACGCACGCACGCCACGCACGCCACACACACACATTTACATTACACACCCCCGCCCCCCCCTACGCACACACACACACACGCACGCACACAACACACACACACACACACACACCACACACACACACACACACACACAACACACACACACAACACACACACACACACACACACACACACCACACACACATATATATATATATATATATATATGTTATAGATAGTTTAGTAACATCACACTACGAACATGCATGTAGGATAAAATAATACATAATAGGTTAAGGGTATTTTAAGCTTTTAATACGCGAAAGCTCCGGCTGTTGACATTCAGATGTCTTGCTGAATTGCCTGCACGCAAGAGATGTAACATCTCGAAAGCGTCGTGCATATTAAAACTTTAAACCCCTTAACCTATTATTTGAATTTTATGGATATATATATATATATATATCATGCGCGCCTATCATGACGCCAACATGGCGGGTGTCGGACGTAGACGTCGCGTGGCTCCATTCTTTCAACGAGTGTTTGAATATCTACTTCCTTACATGTTACACAACATCATTCTCACAACAAACTACAACGGGTCTTTGCCGCGAATGAGGTTAAAAGATCACGGCGCGCGGCGCGCTTGCCCATGTAAAATTCTCGGGACGGGGCGGCGCGGAGCAATTTTAAGCATTATAGCGCGTACACGTATACGTATCTACTTGGCTTACTGCCACCGAATACCGGCTCTGCCGAGCGAGTTTCTATCATCGGGCTCCATGTCTACCTGCTGCCCTATATGTCGCTCTGTGCCGGCGCGAATATGGGACACGGACAACAATAACACCTCGATAATGATTTCTGGTAGAGACGTGCGCGCCAGTCTATCGCGCGTTCGAGCACAAATTGCGACGAAAAGTAATACGAATATATAATGTATATATCGAGTTATCAGTGCCTGCAAACAGTGTCCTGTCTGTATCTCCCGCTGGCATCTCCGTGCGCTGCGAAGCGGGTACTAGTATTTTTCGAGATATTTCGGCGCGTTTCGGTAAAGATGGGTGGGATTGGTGTAGAATGACCGCCGGCGCTTTCGCTACTGCTGCTGCTGCCGCTGCTACTGCGCCCGTACCTGCGTCGGCGGTGTGAGTCATGCTACCGTGATTTCATCCGGCACTTGTCGGCCTGCCGCTCGCACACAGTAGCAGACGCACGAGGAAGGGCACCCGTGCACGCACGCCGTCAGTCGCACAACAAGCTCGCGCTACCCACACACACACACGCGGGCGTGTATATTAACAACCGCTGGTACGGAAACACCACTGCACCTCTGAATCAAGAAAATAAATCAGAAGCCCAACGACGATGCGTCGTCAGTGAGAGACATCGTGATCTATCTGCCGCGCGGAGTATAGAAATCTAGAAACGCGGCGAACGCGTTCGGTTCGTTGTCGAATTAACTCCGCATCCGTTTCTCTATATCGCGTCGGAGATACACGTATATGTGGTAGAGGCCGCGGCGTCGGCAGCATGCGGTGTGTGACAGTGCTGTGTGTGCTCGCCAGCCTGACAGCGGGAGTGACGGCCGTCTGCAGAGAGAACTACTACGGGGACGACTGCTCCGTGTTCTGCGTGGCCCGCGACGACTGCGGAGGGCACTACGACTGCGAGCAGTTCACGGGCGCGAAGTTGTGCTTGTCCGGATGGCGGGGAGACGGCTGCAAGCAGAAGCTGCCCGGGATACCCGGCGTCACGGATTGTCTCTCAGGTAAGAGTAGTAGTAGAGGCGGCGTGTAGCAGCTGTAGTAGTTACAGCTGTAGTGTTGTAGTTGTAGCGTATTAGTGGTTGTAATGTAGTGTGTAGTGGTAGTTGTAGAGTAATAGTTGTGGCGCAGTGGTTGTAATGTAGCAGTTGATGTGTGGTTGTTGTGTGGGTGGTAGTTGTAGTGTAGTAGTTGCAGTTGCAGTGTGGTTGTTGTAGTGTAGTAGTTACAGCTGTAGTGTTGTAGTTGTAGCGTAGTAGTGGTTGTAGTGTAGTGTGTAGTGGTAGTTGTAAAGTAATAGTTGTAGCGCAGTGGTTGTAGTGTAGTAGTTGTAGTGTAGTAGTTGTAGTGTAGTAGTTGTAGTGTAGCAATAGTTGTAGAGTATATAATAGTTGTAGCGCAGTGGTTGTAATGTAGCAGTTGTTGTGTGGTTGTTGTAGTGTAGTATGTATATAGCTGTAGTGCAGTAGTTGTAGTGTGTAGCAGTTTTAATATAGTAGTTGTAGTGTAGTAGTTGTAATATATAGTTGTAGTGTAGTTATTGTAGTGTAGTAGTTGTAGTATAGTAATTGTAGTGTAACAGTTGTTGTATAGCAGTTGTAGTGTAGCAGTTATTGTATATCATTTGTAGTGTAGCAGTTCTTGTATAGCATTTGTTGTGTAGCAGTTGTAGTGTAGCAGTTGTAATGTAACAGTTGTGAGCGCTCATAAAATGTCAACGCCTCAGTCAACTCTGTCTCGTTTTGAACGTCCCTATTTGCTTCGGTGTCAGTTGCGTAGTTATGTGATCGCTCGCTGACATAACCTGCAGAACGGATACACCTATGTATAGACAGAACCCATACTTTATTGGTGTTTAAGACAACCTGTGAACCCCAACGCAATGCCACTGTAAACAAGTCAATAGCCAATCTATTTCTCTATGAATGGTATGATTCCGTCTCCGAACATTTTCGAATATGCCATTTCTTTACGTGTTGTGTGCGGTGCCTACATGGACCATCAATCTCACGAAATCTAGCCCAGAAGTTTGATACATATGCCAACGCGCCTGTGAGAAGATCAGTCAGCGTCCCATACGTGAAAAGAGCAATCGAGCATTTGATTATTGATTAATGCTAGAGGCTAAGCACTGCCTTCTGCATTAAAAACGTGCGTTGCCGCCTATATAATTAGCATAATACATTTTTAATTCGTCAAACACTCGTTGCCGGAATTGATCGCGAAGTGACATTACATTAGCGCTGTGCTCTGCTCCGCTGCGTGCCCATAGCGTGTACAGGTGCACCACGCAGCCACAGCAGCAAACAGGCAAGCTGTACAGGTAAGCGTGGCTGTACGCCTGCACGCCTAATACCGCATCCACCCACACATCATATCGATACAATGCGAACAGGAAGGAAAGTGCCCGCAATATAGTTTGCAGTGTGTATCAACCTAGCGAAAGTGAGGCGAGATAATGATGGCGTTAGTCGGTTATAGTCGGGCGGGAATTAAGCTCGAATTTCGGGGATGCCCGGGAGTGGAGTGACGGAAGAATGACTTTCTTTCGCTTATTATTGCCGATAATTGCCGTTCAAATGCTGCTCTGCAACACATAATATGATAATGATACACACACACACACACACACACACACACACACACACACACACACACATATATATATAAGTGTAAATGTGCAGCGGCTGCGGTGTACCTATGTGTTGCAGAGGAGTATTTGAACGGCATTTATAGGAAATTATCGGCCAATAATAGCGCCGAAAAGAAAGTAGAGAAACGTAAGACTTTGGTTTTGTGTTTATTTAGCATTATTTTGTGCATTGAAATGCTCCAAGTGCCCGTGGAAGAATACCACCGTGTGGAATGCGAATTGGGTCGCGCTGGCTGGCGTACGGCTGCAGGTTATGTCCTGCACGTACGTGGGCTAGGAAAACAATAAATCAGCAGGAGTCGCCCAGTGGGAAGGGAAGATCAGTGTAGCGAGACAAGTCCCTCGGGCGGGCCCATCTCGTGTCTTCGGATTCCAGCCCGCGCGTACCTACATAGCAGGCTGTTGAAATATCTCACGTAGGAGGCAGACGGAGTTGAATAAATCCTCACCTACTTGACAGAACGTGCCGAATCTAATCGACCTAAACGGGTGAACGTTCGAATTTTTGCAAGACTAACACTGAGTAGTGTATACGCTGCTTTTGAATAATTAAACCTGCGTTATAATAATAATAATAATGATGATGCTGCTGCTAATGATGATAATAATAATAATTATTATTAATATAATCATAATATTTACATAATCATAATATAATATGCCACCCGATAAAACTCTCACTAAACTCAATTAATTTTAAATCAGCTGACTGATTTATTCCGATGATTATCTATGTGGCACACCACTCTCGTCGTGTGCTGCCAAATTTAATTGATTAATTCCATGCGATATATTGAATGCGAATCTAAATCGGAATTACAGGCGGAATACACTGACAACCAGGTAAATGACCACGTACGTATCGCGCGGTGTGATTGCAATGTGATTGTGTGTTCTGTCACTATACTGCGTGCCGATCACGGGATGTATTTCACGACGAGTCGATCTCTCTATACGCAGCGCACGCGCTGCTGTTCTGGGAACCTTTAGACAGCAATCTCGATTAATGGGTGGACATCACGCAGGCTTACCTCCCGTGGGAGTTTTCTATACGCACCGGGTCGTCTCTCAGTCACCGAGCTACACCTGTACTTTACTGCTTCGTAATTAAGAGTTACCTGCTGCAGTGTGTGTGTATCATCTAGGTTAAGTGCTTGAACACGGTTTACTGAGAGAATTAATGCGAACTTGGGCGAGCCCCTGGACCCACGTACCGCCCACCGTTAGCAGATATATTGTCCAGCCGAGTGTGAATATACATTCAGTTCTTGACCTGGTTGGATACGCCCAGTGTTCGCTGTCTTGTTTGCTGTTTCCAAGTTAAGGTATTCTACTATGAATGCTCTATAAAAGCGGTGGAGGTCTTGCCGTGTATAGCACTGCGAGAAACCGGATATAAATCGAATGATTTAGTAGGGCAAATGTTCGCAACGTACATATGTTGGTGTCGTCATTGTTGTTATTGAGCGAGCGTTTTCATCGAAAACCAGCGATGTTTGATGGCGTCCACCGCCCTAGTTATGTCTTGATCGCAGCAGTATCTTGCCCTTTCGACCTGCCGAGCTTGAATTCATGAATTTATTACGGGGCCACATGTCTGTGGGCCGCGTATACAGAAGACGGAAGCTCTGGTTATCGTGATTATCAGGAGGATGATTAATATCGCTCTCATACCGCCGCTACCTCCCGCTTACCTCCCCATTGTATGAACATCGGGCGTTGAAAGATTTATATATATCGCTCTCACACCGCCGCTGCCCCGCCACTACCTCCCGCTTACCTCATCACCGTATGAACATGGGGCGGTGAAAGATATATATCAAGAGCTCATAATAGAGAGCTCACTCTCTATTATGAGCTCTTGATATACATCGCTCTCACACCACTAGTACCTCCCGCTTACCTCCCCACCGTATGAACATCGGGCGTTGAAAGATTTATATATCGTTCTCATACCGCCGCTGCCCCACCACTACTTTCCGCTTACCCCCTCACCGTATGATCGAAATGCTGGCCACGGAACACACCGAATGACAAGTAACAATGCCCTTCATGCCTGTAAACGAGCGTTGGCGATGCGTTTCACGTATGGAAGACGCGCGTGCGGGCGTCGCCTCTAGAGTACTGTCACTGCTTTAATGTTTGGGTGTGGCATGCACGCCTGTACAGATCGTACAGGTGGGTACAGCTGGGCGCATGCACCTCTCAAGGATTCGACAGGCGTTGTCGCTGTCACGCCGGCTAGCGATCGGAGCTTCGGCACCGGCTCAGAGTCAGGTAAACGCATGAGAGCGTATAGAAATTAAGGTGCATGCGCCGATCGCGTAACCCAATTCCCGTTTTCAGAACTGAAGGATAATCGATATGGAATTATTGGACTTCGCCAGTAATCTCCGGAAGCAACGAGTATATAATGGGGTTTGGAAAATTAAAAGTTTCTGTTTTACTACGCGTAGGCCCTAATCGTTTGTTTTCTTGATTTGTGCTCGCTCGTAAAGTATTCGGCTGAGAGGCAACTTCTAGTCAGCTTATATTATTTATTATTCATGAACAGAAGAACTTCAGAAGCAGCAGCGGATACGGCGGTGTTCCGGCTGTGTGTTCACTAGAGGGCGGCGGACCATTTCAGAGATTCTGTTAACGATTTTAATGCTTTATCTATCAGTCTTTAGGAGGTTCATGTCTCCAACAACACGCAATATTCTTGCCGTGGAACCATTTTTATGCGTGTAGTATAAATTATGGCAAGATGCGTCAGGGGTTCCTTATTACTGGCGTCGGTGCAGTCTATGGTGCAGTATATCAAATACAATGTTCGAAATGCAATATAATAGTATATATATAGGCCCCTATTATATATATATATATATATCAATGTTTATATGACAACAGCTATAATAGTCGCCTGCTATCTTTTCGCGGGGCGTCTAAACTACATGTTGATGCTATAGTTGTCTAATCGACGCACGCCGGAGGAGCTTCAAACCAAACACAATATACGATCTGTTACAACCTGTCCCATCGCTACAATGCGGCGTGTATGTATCGTCAGGCGTGAGTATTAACCGCAGTGTGAGGTGAACTAGGTAGCTGACGATTGCTTATGCATGCGTGACACACTTACAGGTGCGTTTATGCGCAGCCGTTATCTTACACGTGGAAATAAGCCCGTAATCTCTATGCATGGACCCCCTGGCACAGATTTCAGCCTTTCGTCTACGTAGGCCCATGTAGAAACTACTTGAGAAACGCGCCAATCTCAAACTATAATCTAAGAGTACGATATCTGTTCAAAGTGATTTCTCAATTAATTCTAAGATTTACAAGTGATTTCTCAATAGTAATTGTTAA